ATCCTATAACATGATTCCCTCCACTACACTATGCTTGTGTGAATGTTTTAATTTTGTAGTTTAGCTAAGGGTCTTTCTAATAACATATAAACTAAACATTTGTTTGTCGAATGTTGTAATTGAAAATCTTTCACATTTACATATTTTATATGGTCCACGATCATGCTGGGTATATATTTGGCATTAATTCTTCACCAATTATTTGATAAGTTGGAACATTATAAAGAAATTCTAAAGGTAAGCCTCTTAATCTTCTCATGTATGATTTTTGTGGAGTTACTAAAAATAGGATATAAAACTTATATATAGCTCATTTTCTGCTATTTAACCTGTCCTTTTGTGATACTTGTGCACCAAATTTAACATGGCGTGCTTGTCACGATTTAGGATGCCAAATGGTAATGTTGCCATTTTGGGAAAAATATGAGGCTTTTTGTAGGGACGTGGTTGGTAGCTTGGGATTTGATAACATGCAGTAAAAGTAGAGATGGTTTAGGAGCAAAAAGTCTTTGGAACATGAACGAAAGGAAAATGGCTCTGGAGATTTGACTTGAACAATCTTATGAAAGGTAGGGTGGTCAGGGAGGACCATAATGGTTGAGATCCAAATGAATTGTGACATGTTCCCTTAGAAACCCTTGGAAATTAATAACTCAAGAATTTTCTTCGTTTTCTAATTATATGAAATGTGATGTGGGTGTGGTGTCTAAGAGGAAGGTAGATTGATTCATGTTCCCTTGCTGCTTCATTTTCTAGGTTTATTAATCTCTCATTTCTTAAAAATGCCCTAACAACTTTTGTTGGTTCACTTTCTAAAAATAGGAAAATAAATGTAACTTTCTACAAGTTTCTTGTTTTCAACTTGTACATGCTTTTCTACCTCTATTGCATCATCATGGTTGGTAATATCTTGGTTATTTTGAACTTTTTTTTGGCCTTGTCATCTGTTGGGTAAATTGTTTGCTCTTTGTTTAGAGTGATATTGGGAAATTGTTTCTTATGTGGCAACATAATAATCGCATTGCATGCTTTGTTGTTGTGGTGCATCATTTTCTAACAATCTTATTGTGTATCAAATTGAGCTCATTTATATCTCCCNAATAATCGCATTGCATGCTTTGTTGTTGTGGTGCATCATTTTCTAACATTCTTATTGTGTATCAATTTGAGCTCTTTTATATCTCCCTATGTAGACTTTCGAGAAATCCTTGATGACTTGTTCTTGCTCTATGGGACTTTGTTTCTCATTAGTAGCGTTTTTTCTTTGAAGAAGAATGTTATTATGTCGAATTCAATTGCATTAGACCAAACTATTGTGACAAAGAAGATTGTTGCCCAAAGTTAGAATATCGTATTGAAGTAAGTTGAACCATATGTGATGGTCTGGCAGACATATATTATAGTGTTGGAAAAACCATCATCATTCATGTGATGGCTTGATAGATGAAAATCATTGTTTTGTAGTAAGCCATAGAGGTGAGCATTTGAACGTAGCTATGACTTGAGGAAAATCTCTACCCACATGTTGATATCTTTTGTGCTCATTGAAGTGAGTAACATTCATAACAGTCAAAATTTGGATTTTTTATCAACTGCATCATCGAACCTACCCATCCTTCATTCCAGATTTTGGACCGAGGTAACCTTGAGGGGTTGCTCAACTGGTAGGCCTTGGGTTTGCTCCCAGTGGTCACAAGTTCGACTCCCCTCAGGGCCACTGAGGTGAATACCCGACCGTAAACTTCAGGGCCCCGTGGGATTAATCGAGGTGCGCGCAAGCTGGCCCGAACATCCAAGGTTATAAAAAAAAAGATTTTGGACCAAGGTTGGTGATTTTTTAATCCTCCTATCGTTACCACAAGAAAGCATGCTGCTATCACCATAGGTGGCCATCAGCTTAGGGCCAAATGTTGCTTCAAATACTAATTTAATGCAGCAGCGAAAGTGGAATCTTGTAAAAACAAGAAAAATCTAAAAAACATCATTTAGAATGACTTGAATAATGAATATAATTGGCGATTACACGCTAACCCTCATCTTGTAAAACATTGGAAGTAGAGGTAATATCCTAAATCTTGTAGACTAAGTAAAAGAAACTAAGGTCCTGTTCTCTTTGTTGTTTTCAGACTGTTTTTGGTTTTCGATTTTCCAAAGCACCGAAAACGTGTTCTCCTTCTCATTTTTGAAAATGAATTTTGGAAAACAAAAAATATTGTACTGAAAACTCAAAACATCCAAAACCACGTTTTGACCATTTTCAGTACAAAACACGGAAACACTATTTTCACATATCCCCTCTCTCTCTCTCTCCCCTCTCCCGACTTCCTCTGGTTTTCAATTTCTTCTACCCTAAATCCACATCTCCCACGGCCTCCATAAGGAGCTTTCCGACGCCGGTCCACCTCCGATTTCCCAACGCCTTTCCACCT